TCGCATACAAACCCCTCCCTCTATTTTTTTTTTTCACCTTTATATATAAATATATGTAATCCATTTTTTTGCAACTACACAACCAACTCATAGAATTTTTTCCTAGCCATTGACAAATCATTTCAAGGGCAGGGTAACTTTGAAGGGCAATACAATACTTCAGCATATGGTGCAATCCCCAGATGTTCTGTTTTCCTCCCCTCCCTCACTTTTTTTTTCTTTTTTTTCTGAGTTCTGATTTTCTTATACTATGTTCCAGGAGATGCCATCAGGTTTTTTTTAGTATGATATCTTATTGTTTCAGAACTTTACACTGACAGGTTTTAGTAACAGGATTTAGTTAAAATTTATTTTTTCTTCAACTATTAATATAATTAACTGAGCTCAAATTTTACCTGCAAACGATCAGATCTTTTTTTCTATGATTTAAGAAATTACTTTGAAAGTGTGTTAAAATGCATTTCAAAGTACAAGCAGCTAATATATACTAATTTTGTAGAATTATCAAAATATAAAAAAAATTAATTTTAAAAATAATTTGCATGTTACTTTTTTTAAATATTGTATGCTTTTATTTTTTAAGGTATGATCAAATGTGTACTGGATAAATAGATGCAAATCAATTTGCATATCTGACAAAATCAGATACTCCTGTCTTTTGGTTAATCTTGAATTTTTCATTTGATGGAAAGGAAGTTTCTGGATATGGGCAAGCAGGAATTTATGGACAGCAGACGCATCTGCATACCTGAATGCAGAAAAATAAAAATTGTAATTTGCCAAAAAGACCTGCTTAATTTTTAAAATCAGCCCAATTTCAAAAATATAAGATACTGTAATTAAATAAAACACACAGCTTGATTATGGACTTTTTCTCAGAATTGTAGTTATTTATTTATATATATATATATATACACGCTAAGGGGTTTGACAAATATATTTTAAATTCTAAAGATTTTGTTAGAAAAAAAGTTTACACTATTTCATAAAATGTATACATCTGTGTTTGCTTCCCCGAGTAATTTATCTATTTTTAGCAATGAAGACTAGGCAGATTTTCCCAGCACTAATACAATCCACAATGGGCAGCATACTTTATGCAATTTTACAAGCAGCAATTTTTTATGTGGGAATAATTCTGTTATTGTAATGACAAAATCAATGTTCACATTTATCTATAGAACAGACTTAGAAAACAATGCCATGATCATACCAACTAGCATCAGTATAATGGTACTGTAATAGACAATAGGGTTTGTTAGTATTTTTGCAAGAACTATTTGGCAAAAAAATGTATATCTAAAAATAATTTTAAAACATTGCAGGAATATTCTGAATGCATTTTTTTTAAGAAATAGATGATGGCACACCATTTTTTGGGCTTGCTTCTCAAATTTATTTAACCCACTGTTCAGATTATTTTGATTCATAGTGTGCCAAAGGTTTTCTTTACAAGAACAGAGCTTCTGAGACTGTTACAAAAATGGGACTTTCTTGTCTTTCTAATAAGAATGCTAAAAACATATCTGACTGTTGGTTAGCAGTGACTATAAAGGGACTAATTCAGACTTGCCATCTCTGATAACTGTTGTGTGAGTTAGTACTGGGAGGGGGGAACAGTATGAATTGATCTATTTAAAGAATGACTTGACTGACTTAATTTTTTCTGTTGTGAACTTTAAAGATTATTTATCCACAGTGCTTGCAGCTACAGAGGTGGGTTTGATTTAAAATAATTTATTGCTTGTTAAAACATGCAGTAATTTGAAAGTGTCTATAGTCTAGTCACCACTTCCCTTTAAAGCGCAGATGTGCCCATACTATTGACACTAAAGTGGTTTTAAACCGCCGATATAAAATATATACAAAGCATATCCCTCTATAGTGTGCATTTGTCTCTGTAAAGAGCACTAAGTGGTTGAATTACAAAAGGCAAAAAGACTGTGCACTGCGCAAAGTGCAGTTGCACTCTTAAAGAACAGTTGCTTCAGAGCTTAGTAAATGAACAGAAGCTTTGCTGACTTCCAACATCCAATCAGATGAAAGCAAAAATGCCGTTTTTTTTATTTTCCTTGCACGTCATTGGGTACTTTTTGTATAGTTAAGCTTTACCTCATTTACTAAGCTCCAGAGCAACTGCCCTTGCATAGTGCAATGACAATCTGCAAAGTGCACAGTCTATTTGCCTTTAGTAAATAAATGTGTCATTTCTTTCTGCTGTTTCATTCATCTGCTAGCAGCTTGAGTCACTTCTGGTAAGTTTTATTGACACAAAGAGAAAAATGGTGACAGGGAAGGAACCTCCTGCACACAGTCTGTGATTGACAGCCTCAGCTCTGTTCCTGTGAGCTGTGTGAAGGGGGGTTTGTCCCTTCCTCCCAATCAGATCTCAGAGCTCTTTTCACTGAGCTCCACAGTGTGCAATTGCAGCTCTCTGTGTATGCATAAGGGTTTACAACCACTTTATACTGTCTTTTTGATTGTTTCCTTATTAAAAGTGAATGGATTGGATGACTATCATGGTTTGTATTTTGGCAGATTAATGTGCATCAGTGTGTAAACTATGGACATTAATGTATTTACAGACTCTTGACAAACAGTGGAAGTGCCTTGAAACAAAGTTCATTTTTTAAAGTAAAAACAGATGCACTGAAATCTCAATTTCTCTCCCCCTTTTTTGCTCGGCAGGCTGACAGCCTTCTAATGTTAAAAAACAGCAGGTGCTGGAAGTTGCAATAAACTAACTGAAAACCAACTTCAGAGTCACTGTTATAATTTTATGAGAATGCATTTCTCCACAAGACCTGCAGCTATAAAGGTCAGTGAGGCAATGTTTTAACCACTTACCTACTGGGCACCCCTTCCTGCCCAGGCCAATTTTCAGATTTCAGTGCTGTCGTAGTTTGAATGACAATTGCGCAGTCATGCAACACTGTATCCATATTAAATTTTTATCATTTTTTCACACAAATAGAGCTTTCTTTTGGTGGTATTGCCGCTGAGTGTTTTTTTTTGCGCTATAAACAAAAAAAGAGCAAAAAATTTGAAAAAAAGTTTTTATTTGTTTCTATTATAAAGTTTTGCAAACAGGTAATTTTTCTCCTTCACTGATGTGCATTGATGAGGTTGCACTGATAGGCAGCACTGATGGGCACTGATGGGCAGCAATAATGGGCACTGATGAGCTGGCATGGATAGGCAACACTGATGGGCACTGATAGGCTGCACTGATGAGGTGGCACTAATGAGGCAGCACTGATGGGCATTGATAAGGAGGCACTGATGATGCTGCACTGATAGGTGGCACTAATGGGCACTGATAGGTGGCAATGATGGGCGACACTGACGGGCAACGCTGATTGATGGCAATGACTGACTGCCCTGACTGGCAGTACTGAATGATGGTACTGACTGGAGGCACTGATAGATGGCACTGATGGGTACTGATGGGTGGCACTGCTGGGGTCACTGATAGGTGGCACTGCTGGGTGCTGATGGGAGGCACTGCTGGGCACTGGTGGGTGGCACTGCTGGGCGGCACTGCTGGGCACTGATGGGTGGCATTTCTGGGTGGCACTGCAGGCAGGGCACTGATCACTGATCATCAATGCCCTAATCATCAGTGACGATCTCCTCTGTGACAGTACTTTCCTCACGCTGTGACAGTGTAAGGAAAGTGCTGGCGATAACTGGCAACTGTATTTACTCCGTGATCTGCTCTGTCATTCGACACAGCTGATCACGTGGTAAAAGGCCGCTGTGATTGGCCTTTTACCTCATCACGTGATCAGCTGTGTCCATAGGACACTGTGATCACAGAGATCGGCCCATGGGGGCATGCAGGAGGGTTCGTTCTGGGAGGATGTCATATGACGCCCTCCCAGAACTGGGTAAACGCGCTGTAGCCGTCATTTGGCTATAGCGCAGTTACCAAGTGGTTAACGTTCTCACTGTTTGTCAGGGAGGGCCGGTGCTTCAGCTAGGAAAACTAGGCAGCCATCTAGGGTGCACTGCCACCTAGGAGTACCTGGGCGCAGCTCAGGCCGGCACTCTCTCTGTGTGGCCTATGGACCTCTAGTATGAATTCTTAATTTCTCTGCAGAGTCCCCCTCTCCTCATACACAGAGAATGATGAGGGAATGATGGTCCCTTTACTCTGCACAATAGTCTGAATTATCTGAATACATGACAGTATTCCATGTCGGCGTCCCCTAGGATGGGAAGTGATAACATTAGCCCAGAACCCCGTGCGGTCAGCAGTCTCTGATCAGAGGAACGGTCCGTACACACACTGGCACACACGATCCACCAGCTGTAATAGGGATCTGGCTATTGACCAAATGGGGCGTGTCCAGTGCTGGCTCCGCCTTAATATATATTTTGTCTTTAATATTGGTGCTGATGGCATCTTATGGCACTTATTAAGTTAAAAGAAATTTAGCAGTTTCATGTTTTGTTGATTTAATATTTTCTACTGTTTTTAAAAATTTCTATTTATTTATTTTATTGGGGGGGGGGGGGGGGCAAGTAGCTGGTCTTGCCTAGGGCGCAAAACAGTCTAGCACCAGCCCTGTTGTCAGGAATATCGAAATATATTTCCTACATAAATTGTCCATAACCTACACCCAGATGCACTTTAATCTGCCTAGATGCATGCTGATACAGTCAACCAATCAGGTCAGTTTTAAGAGGGATCAATCAGACATGTTTTGAAACACATTCTAATTGCTCATGTTTTGTCATCAAGATACACATCATGGCATCATCCCAGAAGCTCCTCTGCATCTCTCTCTAGTAGCATAAACATCAATGCCTGGACCAGGTGCACAACATTGCTTACACCCAGGGGCGGACTGACAACTCATGGGGCCCCCGGGCAATAGGGGATCATGGGGCCCCTGTGTCCTTGCCCACACTCAAAAAAGCCTATAAAAAAGGTACCAGGGGCATTTTATGGGGCCCCCTACTGACCCCGGGCCCTTGGGCAGTGCCCGAGTGACTGAATGGTCAGTCCGCCCCTGCTTACACCTATGAAGAGGGGAGAAGTAGATATCAACGTTGGTAAAATTTCACACCTGTCCCATTAATCTTACCCCATGAGATAGGTAAGGTAAAGCTGTCTGCTGGTGCAGTAGACATGAGATAAAAATAATGCAAGTAAAGCAAGCCATAGATGATGACAATCGCTCGATTCCCCCTTCAGTACAGCCAGTGTTGATGGGGGGGGAATCCCTCCCACAGTGCTGTTGTACTCTGCCGGTGGGGTGCTTTCCCTTCTGGCAGAACACAATGATCACTGCTGATGGCAATATCTATCAACAGCAATGGCATGCAAAAAATTTGACAGGCTGGTTGTACTGAAGTCGATTGATGGATAGAATCTTGGCCAGTCCCTGCTGAACCAGCCGAGATTCGATCTATCTATGGCCAGTTTAGGCACAATATGCACACTACTCACACTATGCAGATCATAAAATAAATCTCAGGACCATGGATTCAAGTGAGAAAAGGGAGCTTTCAGAAAATTCTTATTTAAACTAAATGTAAAAAAATTAGATTAGTTAAAGGGGAAGGGGATTGTTTCTTTTTGTATTATGCCAGAGAATATATTTAAACCACATTATCAGATGTATTATTTTTACACTGTAGACATCTTTGGATGAATTGACCTTTATTTATTTGCTGTATGGCAGGTATGCATGAGCAGAGTGATTTTGCTAAAACTGATTTTGCAGCAAAATGATCAAAATAAGTCTCAGATTTCACAATCTTATTTCTGAAATCTGACATGTTTTCTGTTAAGTCATGTGATCACCATGTCATTGCTGACATGGTGGTGATCACATAGCTTTGTTTATAAACAAAGGATTAGGGTTTTACTATCCCTTAAACCATTTATGACCACATAAAGTATGTATGCAGCTTCTGGGAAGTCAGCTTTAATTCTGGGCGTCACATACAGTATACTGTATGTGCCCCAGTGTTTGTGTTGGAAGCGTGCTCGATCGCGCACTCCCAGCACTGAGACCGAGTTGTTACTGGCAGCTTGGGGTCTTGTTCTAATGATCAGGGGCTAGGAGAACTGACTCCCAATCACAGTGATCACTACTTTGAACACCCACTCCTGTGTTGTTTTTCGCTGTGAAGAGGAAACAATACTTTGCAATTTTATTTCTTCGCTAGAGAATTCTGCAAAATAAAATCTGGTAAAAAAAATAAAATTAAATAAATATAATATAATAGCTGCTAGCAATATTTGTATGTAAAATCCAACAGGCTGTTTTTACCCAATTTGATCGATTAATCAACTTGGGTACATTCAGCTTGCCCATACATGATTCAAATTTCGGCTGGTCCTTGCCAAACCTGACGAGATTCGAACTGAATAACTGATGTGCTTTAGTGTCAGTGTTAGTGTATTTAGGTAGGACCAGGGGCGGACTGACAGGGGATCATGGGGCCCCTGTGTCCTTGCCCAAACTCAAACGCAGTGCCCGAGTTTCCAAATGGTCAGTCCACCCCTGGGTAGGACAAAAAAAAAACAAAATGCATACTATTGTTTCTAAAGGTGGGAATACTTGATTAGAAAATTGACCGATCGGTCATCCGACAACTGAGAGGCATTCGTTTGTTCGTCGAAAATCGTGGCCCACATTAACCAATCTGAAAAAATTGTTCGTCGGGCAATACGTAGTGTTGACATCTTCCGTTCAAGTGGAAGTGATGCGGTGTGCGTGAGACCTTGTAGCCACGCCCTTCTGGCCAGAACGAGCGATATACACAACAATTACCAGCAATGAGTATAATATAGTTTATTCCATTATCTATATACATAAATAGTGATACATAAAATCTAATATGCACAATTCTGGTTTCATTATCTCATTAGGCCAATCTACTTTTAACATTTGGATTTTTCGTTCGTGTTTACGAAGATTCCTTAGACATAAACATCCGGGTCATCTTCTATTTCCGCTCATGCGTGATAGCGCTTGATAGATTTTTTTTGTACAACCGTCATACCACCGCATAGAAAATCGATCGTTTGTATGCGTAACGAAAAAATGTATCACTGTTGTTCAACCGGATTTTTACGTTCACAATATCGTTATCAGTTAAAACATCCTGCTTATCAACGAAGAGAAAATCGTTCGATTTGTGGTTCCGCCAAATTTTTCGGCCAATTTTCTTATCGTGTGTACAGGGCATTAGCCCTACTATGAGTACAAAGAACAAATAATGGACACAAATGTGATCATCAGTAGGAGAATTTATATTGTGGGTTTCTTGGTGGTGGGTCATGGTAATAGAATAAGTAATATACAGCTAACATTTGAAAAATTATACTTTTTATTATTTTGGGCCAGTTTTTCTTTAGTAATAAAATAAAATCAGGAGATATCCATTGATATTAAACTACAAATGAAGGCCTAATTTGTCCTAAAAAAAAAAGGTATAATTCCCCTGGATTCACTAAGTAGTCATGCTGTACAGTTAACACAAGTGGCAAAACTGTGTTCAGGCGTTAAGATGGTTAATAAGGGATTAATATCTGAGGCATCCCATACATTCAGAATTTTTTCTTCATTCAAACAGCAGGTTAACGAAAAAAAAAAAAATATCCTCGAATGTGTGGATGGGGGAATCTTCCCACCACGCCATTGTGTTCTGACAGCGGGGAGCCTTCCCTGCTAACGAAATACAATAATCAGTGCTGCTGGTCATAGCCAGCGCAACTGATCAATCAGGAAAAACTCGACAGGTTGATTGTGCAGAGGTTGATTGACTTCTGTACAACCAGGGTGCCCATACATCAAAATTCAACCAATGCCTGCTGAACTGGCTAAATTTTGATCTATGTATGGCCTGCTTAACATGATGTTACAAGCTAGTGAGTGTCAAATTTCTGGCACAAGAAGAGGTCCAGGATAGTTTCAAGAGGATTCAAGACCCTCAGGTACCATGTAATGCTCATTCTACTTCTAAAGAAACCCTGTTACTGTTTTTAAAAGCTGAAACCAGGCAATCCCTGCAAGACAAACTAATTACCAAACACCTGCCAGCACCACCAAATTCACCAAACACCAAACAGATGACCATGAGGAAAGATCTACACACCACACTTCTGGGAGAGTATTCTGCAATCACCTGCTGCACTCTGTGGTTCTTTCCACCAGTCCCTTCCTCACTATTGAACACAATAATAACCCAGGGGTCAGTGGAAGGAGCCACAGAACACAATGGGGGACTAGGCATTTTATATACCCATTGACCTCCTTCATGATTGACCTCCTTCCAAGAAAAAGGGCTGTATGGCTGTTTCTGGCTTCAGTATTTTTTGCGTCACTAAACCAAGATTAGGCATGCATATTAAAAGAAAAAAAAAAAATCAGAAAAATGTCAGAATCCCTAATCTGCATAGCTGTCCCAGCCTCAGAAAAAACTATGGATCAGTAGGATAGTCAGGAAAAGTCAGCAATGACAGTCATATTCTCTCAGGAAAAAGATTCCTTGTCTTTTCTCAACAAAAACTCTCTGATAAAACCAAAGAAAAAAAAAAAGGTAAACGTCTTCACTTTTTGCCTGGAGTTCCTCTTTAGATGACTCAGTTTGATTGGATTTTTTTTTAAACTATGGGTATCATTAACAGTTCCAGGCTGCTGTGATTTCACAGATTCATCATTACCCATTCATAAGAAGTGGCGACCTTTTCTGACATCCTTGCGATTTTACATAATAGTGACAATTTCATTTGTTGGAGAGAAGACAAGCTGGTGGAAATGGCTGATGTCGGCCTACACCTTTTAATTCCATCAAGGGAATGTCATCGACAGCGTAATACAATTCATCTGCAATGTATACAAATGATATTGACTTACCAGCAGGGTTCAGGTTACTGAGAGAAGCAATACTGTATATATAGAAGATGTCTGCAGTATCCATATCTATCTATCTATCTATCTATCTATCTATCTATCTATCTATCTATCTATCTATCTATCTATCTATCTATCCTTTTTTGAACCATCTATGTGTATGGGATCTGACTTTATATTTGTCTCTCTTACCATAACTATGTAAATATCTATCTCTCTGTCTTTCCATCATCTCAGACCAGAGTACAGAGGGGAAGCTAAATCAGGCCTCATGTAGGGCACTCCATCATCCTATGTCACATACATAGCCAGGGTGCAATGATTGATAGACTTGGCTTGTGAAGTCTGTGAGATCCAGGCATGGCTCAGATGGGACTACTGTGTGGAGTCCATGCAAGACAAAATACAGAATTGGAGTTACTAAATAAAGTAGTGAGAAGATCAAGAGCCAGGTTCTACATCTCTAGCAAGAAAAACGAATTCATATATTGTTCTGGCTTTGTGGAAATTAGTTCTGAGTAGATTGGTTTACCTAAAGCCTGGTTGTAGCTTCCTTTTTTTAATTATTGAGTAAAGTCAGGGTGCTGAATAAATGAAAACTGCAAAGACTTTATTTTTCTTTTTGGATATCCCAAACTTCACTTGCTGGTGGAAAACAATTTGCCCTGTGTGAGAGCAGCTGTGTGATGGGCCCCCTGCACAACACTCGTAACAGGGGACTTTCTGGGATTTGGAAAGAACTGGGGTACTTTAGGGCACTAAGACACATGATACAACGTTGTGTAATCTAAGAAATGCAGGGGTCAGGAGTACATAATACATGCAACGCAGGGGTCAGCAGTACATAAGTCATGGAATGCAGGAGCTAGGAATACATAATGCAGAGAGTGCAGGGATCAGGAGTACAGCATGCACAAAATGCAAGCGTTAGGTGTATGCAATGTGCAGAGTGCAGGGGCCAGGAGTACAAACTGAAGAGAATGCAGGGGTCTGGGTTGCGTAACACACAAAGTACAAGGGTTAAATAGTTGCAAAATCCTCTGTCAAGTAATATTCTCCCCTGCTTTCCTCTGCCAGCAAAAATGCCGGTTCCCTCCCAAATAACCACTGCACTAATATGCCTCCCTTTGCAACCCAAAATTCTCTACAAGCAAAAAAAAAAAAAAACGATAATTCCCCCCTCCAACCACAACAATCCCCTCCCCCCCCACCTTCTAAGTCCTCCCCTTCCTGCACAAGTCT